TAATTGAAATATAATTTTCGCTGACGGGAAGTAAAATAAAGTAATAAAACTAAGTGAGTCTATGACCTTAAAAATAAGTTAATATGATACCAAATTTGATTTTAATCAATTCACGATTGCCCCGAATAATGAATGTTGAATTCTTTTGCAACATTTTTATACCTTTGCAACTTGTTGCTACAGAGTATAACAGTTTTGTTCAACTAAAGGTTGTTTGTATCACCTAAAACTAATCGAGATAGATATGGAGTTTTATATGTTCTTTGGCACCCAAGGGAGGTTGGTATTGCAGTTGAGCGTAGTCGGACCACTGCCACACCCACAAAACGCCATTAAACGAAAACCTAAAAAGTAACATAATTAAGCACCCAGTTAAGATATGAAACTGTAATTTGGTACAAAGGATCGCAGTAGTGAGACACACTTGTGGTCTAGAAACTTGTTTAAAGTTGCTGTGACCTCGCCTCCTAAATGGTTAAATATAACTTGGTAATAAGAAGTCTTTTAATATTTCTTCAAACAGTCTGAAAATCGGTAAAATCAGATAAAACCTACTTCCACTCCCTAAATAACGGCTTTGTTGAAAACTACTAAAAGTGCTTTATAGCAGCAGTTATAAAAATTGAATAATGGGAGCGGTACCGCTCGCCTTTAATTGAAATCCTATATCTCAGGAATTGCTTGCCTTACCAACCAAGTTTGGAATGTGAGGTTACTCAAGCATCCTTATTATACATTGTGAAAATTGGCGAAATCGGATGACCTACTTCCCATATAACAAACTATTAAATTCCATCTGATTCTTTCACTTTACAGTATACAAATCAAACATTATTGCTCTCAAGGTATTTTATCCTTCGCCAAAACTGTGTGCCAAAAATGGATAAAATCGGGTCAACACTTCTTTAGCTCTTATATACCTTACATAAATATTTTTGAACTTCCGCTTTACTTTATGCTGCATCTATCTGTCAATATGTAAGAAATCTTAATGGAATTCAGAAAGAATCTCTTTGTAATAACACTGTATTCTCTTGCCTTTAATAGACGAAATCACGACGATACTTTCCCTAGTTTCATATAAAATTTTGCCAACAACTGAAGGTATTTCCCCGGCTTTGATCCTTGCAAGTTGCAAGAGTGTAAAATCTTCGGTTACACCCGAACTTCATAATATTTTCATAACACTTTATATTTAGCAAAAGTAATGAAAAACCATACATGTAAAGTGCAAATCATGTTATTCAATCATACAAAACTTTTTTGCTCATAACTATTGAATAACCTTTAAACATTTATAATAACTAAATCTGTAATAATAACAAGTAAGGAAGTTCTAAGTTCGGGTGTAACCGAACCTTTTTGTTTCGATTTATACAATTTTTGGTCACAAGGTGGCATTATTCACGCAAATAACAATTATTGTTGCTTGATTTGCATAGTGGAAAGTGAAAGAATCAAATGGAATTTAAAATGGTGTTATATGGGAAATAGGGGTGGTTGTAATCCGATTTCGCACATTTTCACACATTTTCGCACAAAAATGTTTACCATTTCATAAAGATATCTTAATATTTTTACTCTTGCACAGACACAACCGGATTTCAACTCGTCTCTTCATCCTGATCATTTATATAAGTATATATAATCCTATATCTAACTCGATTAGTTTTAGGTGATACAATCAACCGCTAGGTGGACAAAACTATTGTACTCTGTAGCAACATGTTGCGAGAGTATAAAAATCACAATTAAATAAAAACTAGGCTCTACCCATTGAAAATATATACATACAAGTATGTATGTATCACGAATTTCAAAGTCTACAAAATTTGCTCAAGTCATAGTCCGATTTTAAACAAGTAAGGAAGTGCTAAGTTCGGATGTAATCGAAAATTTTTTACTCTCGCAAAGCAAATGGTATACTCGTTTGAGATTTCTTTGTGGACACTGGGGTCCGCATATTCAGTACTTGAACAGTTTTGGTTCGATTTAGGCAATTTTTGGTCACACGTTGGCTTACTTTAAACGTATTATTCACGCAAAGTTTTACCCCGATATAATCATTCTTGCTTGATTTGCATACTGGAAAGTGAAAGAATCAAATGGAATTTAAAATGGTGTTATATGGGAAATAGGCGTGGTTGTAGTCCGATTTCACCCTTTTTCGCAATATAAGATAAAAATATGAAAATAATGTTGTATACCGAATTTGGTTGAAATCGGTTAAGCAGGTACCAAGATATGGCTTTTCACCGAAAAGTGGGCGGTGCCACTCCCACTGACTAATTTTTAACGCGGTTCCTATAAAGTCATCACATACCACCCCAGCGAAAAAACTTAATGTCTCTGGCGTGTTTAGTGCTTGGTTTATCGCGCTTTTAGTATTTTTTAACAGTACCGTTATATGGGGAGTGGGCAGGGTTGTTACCCGACTTCACCCATTTTCACACTGTCGATAGAGGTGCCAAAAAAATGTGTTTTCAGTGAATTTTGTTATTATAACTTTAGCGGCTTAGGAGATATGCACATTAAACTTATTAGGGGCGGGACCACGCCCATTTTAAAAAAAAATTTAACTCCGGATGCCCCTCTCTAATGTGATCCTGTGTACCAAATAACAGTCTTGTATCTTATTACGGAGTTTAGTTATGGCAATTTATTTGTTTTTGATTAATGGCGTTTTGTGGGCGTGGCGATGGTCCGATTACGCCCATCTGCAATACAAACCGTCTTACGGTACCAAGAAACATGTGTACCAAGTTACATAAAGATATCTCAATTTTTACTCAAGTTACAGCTTGCACCGACGGATGGACAGACGGACGGACGGACAGACAGTCACCCGGATTTTAACTCGTCTCTTCATCCTGATCATTTATATATACATAATCCTATATCTAACTAGTTAGTTTTAGGTGATACAAACAACCGTAAGGTGAACAAAACTATTATACTCTGTAGCAACAAGTTGCGAGAGCATAAAAATGTGCTTGCTATCGCTAGGAAAAATTACATCATCTGGTATATTATAATTGTCCCAGAGTGATATAATAAAGATTACGCCAAGTATTTATCGTTACTTTTTATACTCTTGCAACATGTTGCTACATAGTATAATAGGCTTGTTCACCTAACGGTTGTTTATATCACCTAAAACTAATCGAGATATTGTACAATAGATATAGGGTTATATATCCATATTTAAATGATCAGGATAGTGAGATGAGTTGAAATCCGAGTGACTGTCTGTGCAAGCTGTAACTTGACTAAAAATTGAGATATCGCAACGAAACTTGGTACACGTGTTCCTTGGCAAATAAGTGAGGACGAGTTCGAAGATAGGCGTAATTTTACCACTGCTACGTTCACAAAATTCCATTAATCGAAAACTTATAAGTTCCACAATTAAGCACTAAATAAATATGTAAAACTTTACTTTATAGAACCGGGGACAAAAGGAGACGATGGCTGTGGCACCGCTTACATTTAGGTGGTAACCCATATCTCGGGACTAGCTCGACCGATTTAAACCAAATTCGGTAGGTGATATTAATCTGAAATTCTTATGCCACAGTGTGAAAATGGGAGATGATTCTTTCACTTTCCAGTATACACTTAACACCAATGAATGTATCGCGATATAACTTTGCACGAATACTGACTTTGAAGAAACAAAATTATTCAAGCCGACAAGAAACTCAGATAGAATCTTTATCTGATATCAATATGCCCGTGTGCCTAATGCGTTGAATCGGATCAATAATTCCCTTAGTTCCCATATACCTAATAGAAGAATTTTCGAATAATTAATTAATAATTTAATGAATGTGAAGTACCTTAATGAAACTCAGAGACCATCTGTTTCTGTGGTAATAGCAAAAATGGACAAGAGCGGTCTCTCATATATCAGATATAAGATTTTCAAACTTTATACTGTATGCATCGGTGTGGTGTACATATAATGATTTTCGTTATTCTAACAAACCCAGTGCTCAATATGTCGGTCAGTGTATGAGTTATATATTTATAAAATTAATTATTGGAATGAATTTTCCCCGATTTGATTCTTTCAAGTTGCAAGAGTATGAAATGTTCGGTTACGTTCGAAGGTAGGTAGCTCAGTTTCCGCCCAATTTTATCCATTTTAAGCTATGATTAAAACACGCACTCTAATTTTAATTGAGGTAACTCACTTATTGGCCGTTATATGTGTTATAAAGTTCAAAAATCTTTATATTAAGTAAATGGGGCTAAGGAAAGTATTGACCCGATTCAACCCATTTTTGACGTACAGACATATTATTATCAGTAAAGGATCTTCTTTGAATTTTGCTTCAATTTTGGATTTTGTTGCGGGCTTACCAAGATTTTTCCACAAAATCTTCCATAAAGTGGATGAGCACAGTTCCAATTACTCCGCCAGAAGGCGGAAGCACTCATTCGGGCTTCGCAGCAGCAATAGCGTCTTCGGTGCGCACTGTAGGGCGTCTGTGAGGATGAGCATTGTTCACTAAAGTAAATGTGGTGCGAAACTGATCAATGGTTGTGACACTGCTGGGAAATATTGGATTATGAAATAGCAAACTGTCAAAAAGACCAACTCGGAAAAAAGTATCGCCTCATTGAAAACTACACGTCTAAAAAAAGCTACCGAAAACCGTTTCATTTTACAATGGGTTCATTCAAAGAAGGCCCAATATACAAGTTTCCTCTCTCTAAGAGTTTGGTATTTTTATTAAAAGTAGTCTATATGAGATAGCTCATAATAGTTAGCTAAAACTATTCGAAAAACTGTTCTATGTATTAAAGATAGGCAAAGCTTTCACCAGATTTTTACACCGCAACATAAAATAATAACGAGATATGTTTTCATTTTGTTTTGGTAAAATTACTACAGTAATTTACCAAACTTATCCATTGAATTAATTTTCCATTAATATTACATAATAAAAAATGCATCAATTGTGTATATTTTTTAAATTACTTTTCACAATCTCTTAGTGTGTTTCAAAAACGGATTCCCACAGCGTTGGATATGTAATCTCGTCAATATTGCCTGAGTCGAGCTTACAGACACCACCATGCTTACCAGTTTCAATTACTTTAATAATATTCTTGGCACACACCTCTGCAGACTGTTGTTTGACATAGACGCAACTTAAAGGTAACATTTGAATAAATATCCTTTGTAAGGATGGTTTCTGTAATTCCTGGACATATAGTTATGAAGCTAACTCCGAAACGATCGAAATAAATTTTGTCCTTTATTAAATTTAGGGGAATAAAGTTGGTACATTATTAGGTTGGAAAGTATTTAATTTCAATTTATTTACTATAGTACCACCGTGTCCACCACTAGATTTATCCATATAAGGAAGCGCGGTTAGAGTGCTATGGATTAATCCCAACTAGAGAGTGGAAATAGAAAACAAATTGAACCCGCGAAATAATTAAAACACTTTTAAAACAGCATATTTTACCAAGTTTATTTCGATTGCTTCCTTGTTCTCATTAAGATCAAATATTGTTGCATTCTAAAATAAAAGTACATATACTTGTACGTATACCAGACACTTTTAGACAGACTTTTCGAAATGTTTGCTATAGCGTGCCCGGACATAGTTTTATGGTATTTCTTTAATTAAAACTTTATGTATTAAAGTATTGGAAGCCACAGTAATGAACCTATTCAAAATTAGTTCCGATTTAGTTTGCTAAACATTTTACCGTACACCGTAGTTAATTTAAATTCTTAATTCAATCGCGACAATGATCATAGTTGCGGGTAGGTATCAACTGATATAAGTATAACAAGTCTGTGATAACCTGAGTGGGGTAGTATTAAATTCATCTCATAGGGCATTTGAAAATTTATTATCATCAGTATTTGTCCTTTATTTTTATTGATGTAACTATGTAGAATATAATAGTTCACTCTTTTAAATGTTATTTTATTTATATTTATTTCAGCGAATTTAGTCAAAATTCTGAAAAAAAATTATATGCCAAATTCGTGAATATATCTTGTTAAATAAAAAAGTTTTTCTTACAAATACTTGATTCTGATCCTTCAGTTTGTATGGAAGCTCTATACGCTATATTGGTCAGGAAGAAAAGGATTTTTGCAAAAATTTAAATCAACTTAGTTCACCGATCATTTAGATATATGTATATTTCATAGGGTCTTCGACGTTTACTTCTGGGTGTTACAAACTTTGTGGCAAACTTAATATACTCTGTTCAGGGTATAAAAATCATGTGAGATATTAATTATTAATTTTGATCTTGAAATAGGAAACACGGAATGGTGAGTTATAAAATTAGCAGAAAACGATAATTTCCGCTAAGGTCTTTAGCGAATTTGCTATCGTTCATCTAAACTTCTCGTGTCTCTTTCATTTAGTAATACGAGTATACGAGTACTCGTAATGTTAATATGGTGACAGTCAGCTGTAACCATGTTTTGCAAGTTCCGGCGACTTTTTGCTAATTTTTCTATTTGAAGGAATAGTACGTTACTCTCCCTTTTTTCGATATAGAATTTTGAATTGAATAGACAAAGAGTTTAATTATTCTTTACTTTTTCTAAGTACATACATCTGTAACAAATTTTTTTTATTCCTTTATCACCAAAATAGTATCGTAAAACTATACCTTTGCATCACTTTTTAGAAACTCTTTTACGCAAGCTAGGCCAATGCCACCAAATCCACCCGAATATATCACATTTTTGCCTTTAAGGTTCATTTTCAACAAATCAACTTTATTATTATGTAAATTAAATGTAAACTTTTGCTTAAGTTAACAGCTGTTGTTAGCGTGCGCTGTCTGTTGTTTTAGCGATCTACTTGCCAACTATCGGTGTCTTATGAATAAGTCGTCGTCGAAAGTTTCTACAGCGCATTCTTTTTATGCTCGTTTGTACATAATTGTCGTATTATCAAGATGACTGTAACTTACTATCATTGAACTTGCTCTCGGTGAACTACTAGGTTTATGCAACTAAAACGAGCGGTAATTTTTGTTATTTTAATATTAACATAAACAAGAAAAAACGTTAACTTCGGTTCACCGAAGCTATAATACCCTTCACAGACACAAATGTTCCTTACAATAACTTGATATAATATAATATAATAAGATATACGAAATATATGCCACAAACCATCCCACGCTTTTCTCACAACAATGCAAGTATTTTTCGGTCAATATTACGATCTGTTTATATTAAGAATTATTTTTCACTTATTAACTCAAATCTGAGAACGTATATTACATGTTCCTTGCTCAAATGACAGCATGCAAGTTGATTTTTTAGCTGCATAGTTTTCGGCCCTTTTTTTTGTTTTTTTGCAGTGCCTATCAAACTGTTGTTTGTTTTGTCGGTAGTATCCAGTTTCAGTGCCACTGAAAAAAGGCACAAGTGAAGCGAATGAAAGCGTTGACCAGAGAATGTTAATAAATATTTATTTAATATTAATTTTTATATTTATTTATTAACATTCTCTGACACTATGAGCTTTGTTATTAATTGCTCGGAATATTTTCGAAAACCTACACAAAAATACCTACATAATATATCGTTTAAGTCATTATTCTCCATCCGTATATAATAGCGGATATTTGTTTGATTGTAGAACTATATCTCCGCATTAGTTTAAAAAACTTTGCCCCAATCACTCGACTTGTTTCTTGACAAGTCTCAAACGAAATCCATATGTAATAGAAGATTTATAAACAAATAAGCAATTAACATGCTAGATCATCTATTTTAAGAAATTAAGGTATGACGTTGTCCTGTTTACGAAGTTTATAAGATTACGATCACAGTTTAAGCAGATTAGAGTTAGCTATGCTTGCTTGTATGTAGGTTCCCCCTCTTCACAATGTTTCCTTTAGTACCTGTTAAGGGTGTTATTTCGGTCAGCAAAGTAACGCAATCTTTGCTTCAATTTGTGGATCCGAGAACTTCACTTACTGTGTCGTATCAGATATCTTACGTATGATATTATATAAAGTCTATCAGATTAAGCACTGAAACATTTTACTTTTTTTTGGTACTCCTGAAATATTCTCACTTAATTTTATTGCGATATATACGATATTAACTTAACTAAAGATTAAATTATAAAATTTGAATTTAGAGGAGTTCCCTTTTTGTGGTTACAAGCAAGTATACTGTTCAGAGCAATTGTAAATAGCACAAATTCTACCGTATAAAGACAGAAGAAGGTATAAGAGTAGAGTAAGTTAAACATTATCTTTATTTATTTAGATTTCTGTTCTATGGGCAATTTTGAAGTTTTGAAGGGGAAAAAATACTTTAGTAGTCTCAGTCTTCAGTTACAAATTTTCTCAATATATATTAAATTATAGAATCAAAAAATAAAAGATATATGTACATACATTGCTTAGTTCTCTTAGCAATCCCACTGTGATTACTAATGAATGATTTGAATTTGCAGAAATATTACGTTAGCTTTGCAACATTTCAACTAGTATAACAGCTTTCAGACTTTGGATGTTCCTATGCCGCAGTGAAAGCTGAGACTCTGTATATTACATTTTATAATAAAAATTGTTTGTAAATATGATATTTAATATTTAATAGTTAATAAACTTACTGTTAGGAACATAAGAAGTTCGTTATTACAACATCGGAAGCGATCGATCTGTCTACATACAACCATTAAGACATCGGTACGAATTGTATGCAACAATAATGGGAATGTGCGCTTCAACGCAAACCAGAGATTGGTCGGGTAAATAATATCACGATGCCAGTATGTCAGATTGTCTGTAAAACAATCCGCCATGCTGGGCTTCTTGCGCGCCAAAGTGCTGTGCCAACTGATACCTCAGGCTGGTGGTTGTTGTTTATTGGTGGCTGCCGGTACTTGTCTATCGGCTGCATTTCGAGGTCACTACTTGTGACAACCGTACTTTTTCGTAAAAGATACTACATGTACCACGCACCGTATACTTCACGAACTGTAACAAATTGTTACAAAAATATAGCGAGCGGTTGGTTGGCGCGTGCAAGAGATTATCCGAAGGGGTTTTGTACAATATAAATGAAACGGTTCACAATTGCTTTAAGTTAGTGGTTTCGCAGCTCTGGTAGGTGGACACAGTCTCAACGCATATTGCAGATTATTTGGATATTTCGCCCGAACTAAGCATCCTTTTAAGTTTTTATTTCAAAATGCGGTTAATGCTTGTCTTGATTTGGGTGACCGTAACCACAGCGTCGACTATACATTATACACCCAACGAGATACTGCTAGCCAAATTAGAGAGTGCAACGCTAGATAAAAAGGACACGGCACCGGCTAACACGCAATATCACGAACAGGATTCAAATGGTTTTTACTCGTACGGCTACAGCGCTGATCAATCTGCCAAGGCTGAGTACCTCTCACTGGACGGTTCATCGCGCGGATTTTATTCGTATGTTGATGCAAATGGAAAGTTGCAAACAGTGAAGTATGAGGCCGGGCGAAATCAGGGTTTTAAGGCTGCCGCCACCAACTTACCAAAAGCACCTAAAAATCCTAATAGGTTTGCACCCTTGCCGGTAAGAGATACGCCTGAAGTACAGGAAGCCAAGAAGGCTCACTTCGAAGCATACCGGGAGGCAGAACTGAGAGCGGCGTTAGCGTCACAAAATGAAGATGTACAACTAGGTGAACTTGGCTTAGAGGGGCAGCAGAAGTCTGAACGGCCACAACAAGAGGTGGCGAATATATTGGAAAGTACAAGAAGTAAAATATTAGCAATATTGTCAGAAAGTGCTAATGACGATAATAATAACTTGAATGTTGAGGCAACTGCTGAAATAGGTGTTGGTGCAGCTCAGGATCAAGAAGAAGATACAGAAAATACAGATGGAGATAATGATAACGGACTAATAACCTTAGACAATCTGCAAGGCACACAAGATGATAGTGAAGGTAATGAGGATGAAAGAAACGCTAATAGTGGAAACAATGTTGCCATTGAAAATGGCGATAGTGAAAATGAGGCTGGTGAATTGTCTATTGCAGACCGGCAAATGACGACTTATAAACTCAGCGATTTGCTAAATCCAATCGAACAACTTAACTCGCGCGCATTGTACACATTCGAGGGCGATGGTCAAGGACTAACGCAACTACAAGATAAATCAGACTTAGCTTTACGGCAGCCAAAGCTCACTACCATCGAAACTGTTCGCGTGCCAGTGCACTCGTATTATACAGTTTTAGCGCCGACTACCAAATACACAGTTATTACACCCACAACACACCAATTGGTTCCCCGAGAGGAGGCACTGAAACGCGGTCAAAGTCTGCCGATTTCCCTGAGCAGTTCTTTCTTGTCACACCGTTTAAGATCGAAGTAAGACGCACACTTATAAAAGATTTATCAGCGAGGACGTAAGAAACAATGTTTGAATCATTTTTGACTAGAGTTAACATTTCCATACATTCGTATCACGAGTTTCTTGTTACTTTCGAATGTTGCATTACATGTATTACTATCATATTTCACATTTATTATTTAACATGTACATAAATGATTAGCTACACTGTGGGAGAACGTACATACATATATATGTAAGTTGTGTATATACACATGTATGTGTGTGCAACGGATTGATTTAGTTTTAAATATTTACACAATTTTGCAAAGCAAACAATGTATATATACTATTTAATACACTTAAAACCTATTAAATGATAGGCTTCAGAATAAGCAAACTGGTTTCTTAAAATATCTTTATTTGCTTTATTGCTAATGTTTTATATACTTACTTATTCTGCACGAGAAATAAATGAATTTCGACATAAACTTAGTACTTTTCTATATTTATTTGTATCAACTAAAACTTATCGAGATAGATATAGGTTTATATAAACTTAAATGATCAGGATGAAGACACGAGTTGAAGCGCTAGTGACTGTATGTCCGTCCGTCAAGCTGCAACTTGAATAACAATTAAGATATCGTGATGAAACACGTATTCTTTACTCGCATCGAAAGGGCGAGATCCTAAATGGGCGTAGTTGGACCACTGCCACGTCTACAAACCGGCATTAATTGCCTATTTTACTTATAAATTGCCGTAACTAAGTCGCAAATTCAGATACAAAACGATAAAAATTGGGCGTGATACTTCCCTCTAATAGGTTTAATGTATATATCTCACAAATCGTTTAAGCTATATCACCCAAATTTACACAGGACAAATCATTCCGAAAGCTCTTATGATAGCGTGAAAGATATCGAATGATAACTCCGGCCACTCCCCGTATAACGGTTTTGTTAAAAACTACTTCGGACCCATCTTATGAGGCTTTGCAAATTGTTTAATAAGGCCTAATTCAATATGCAATGGCGGCATTAATATAGTGTTCCATATATGGTACATATTTAATTGCCGTTAAAAGCATTCCAATACTGTCATAATTTTCTTTGAGGTGTATACATGTGCCAATCGAATAGAGGGAAACTTGTTCCCATTGTGTAGTAAAACAACTTTCAGACTTCTTGTAGAAATATCAATAAAAAGACGCCATTCAGTTGTATGACAATTAATGCCAATTTCTTCTAATAAACCTTTCACGTCATGATAAAAACAGAGTCCATCTTCCTTACTGAAGAAACCAAATGTTTTCATGTCGTTTTCTTTCATGGGATATTCAAACATCAGAATTCAGTAAATTCCATTGTTGTAATTGCCATGCCAATAACTCTCATATATATGTTTTTTAGGGTGGGTAAGAAAGAGGAATGTTTTTTTTTTGCTTCGAACTCTGAAAAATTGGTTGTTAGACCCCTCTTAGAAATGCTCTCCAAGTATGAGCTCTAACATGTAACGGGAAGGTCCTCCGACTAACGGTTGTCTTTTTTTTCCGGTTGACTGGAAAGTGGAAAAAGACTATGTCAGGTATATGACGGCTATTTTTTTTTGAAAAGTGCTTTTAATTTTGAAAAGTGAGTCAGATAAGTCAAATGTGCTGGAATGAGAATTAAAATCATGACATATACGGCGGAATGGCTTGTTAGTTCAAAATTTGATCTACAGGATTTTAGCTGTAAAGGTCTAAACTGCCTCGAAAGGCGAACCGGGATATTAAATTTAATTTCAGACAGGAGAAAAGAACTGCAAACTGTTCCATTCAAAATTTTCACTAAGAATATTATGCCAAGCATTTCCCTACGACTAGAAAGTGTAGGTAGATTAATAAGTTTTAAACGACTAGTGTATGGAGGTAGAGGCGAAAATTAAAAATTGTTTTTGAACAGATTCTAACTTGTCAGAATGGATTTGGTAGATAGGGTTCCATACAACCGAGCCATATTCCAATATAGGTCTAACCAAAGTTGTATAAAGTGTTTTAGTAATATACGGATCTCTAAATTCTTTAGACCAACGTTTAACAAAACTGAGGACAGCTTTTGCTTTCGAGACCATGGTATCAATATGAAGACTAAAATTAAGCTTAGGGTCCATATTAACTCCCAAATCAACATAGTTAAAAACTTGCTCTAGAATATGGTGTTTTATTACATAAAAAGAGTGGGGCACAGGTCACGGGAAAAGCACATCGTCTTACATTTATTCAGATTCAATGGCAAATCGTTTCTATCACACCATGCACCATATTGTTTAAGTCTGTTTGCAACAGACACCTTTCCTCAGTTGAAGTGTATGATTTAAAAAGCTTCACGTCGTCAGCGTGTAATAAAATTTTTGAGAATTCAATTACTGAAGAGATATCGTTAATAAACAACAAGAACAGAATCGGGCCAAGATGACTACCTTGCGGAACACCTGAAGAAACATTAATTGTATCTGAAGGTGTATCCTCAAATATCACTCGTTGTGTCCTATTATAAAGATAGGAAGATACCCATTGAAGGAATCTTGGCTGAAAGCCCAGCAGATCAAGTTTATGTATGAGAATCGAGATATTTACTTTATCGAAAGCTTTGCTAAAGTCTGTGCATATAACATCCGTATGCTTATGTTCCGTAAAACCCAATGATACATGGTTTACAAATTCAAGTAAGTTTGTTATAGTCGAATTCCCTTTACGAAATCCATGCTGAGATGAGGAAATTAACGGAGAAATCGAAAAGGTTATATGGTCAGTGATGATAGCTTCAAAAAGTTTAGGTATAACTGATAGTTTTACGATACCTCTATAGTTTTCAATGTTGGATCTAAATCCACTTTTATGCAAAGGGATTATAAATGACTGTTTTCATATTGCAGGAAATACCTTCTGCTCAAATATAAACGAGATATTTTTATTTATCCATAACTCGACAAGGACATGACATATGGCCATACTTTTTTTTGCTTATGTTGGCAGGACTGTTGTATGTTTACATGTCAAATTTGAGCGCGATCTGTCACATAGTTTTTTTTTTACGGCACTATAAACAAGTCAACCTCGAGTGTGTTTTTCGAATTTTACTATGGAAATTAACGTTGAGCAAAGAGTTTGTTTGAAATTTTAATGGAATAAGAGCGACGGACGCAATGAAAATGTTGCAAAAGGCATATGGGGAGTCTTGCCTATCACGTGCACGCATTTTTGATTGGTATAAGTCGTTCAAGGACGGCCGTACATCGCTGGAGAACTTGCCCCATGATCGTTGTCCAGCAACGTCAATAAACGAAGAAAACGTCGAAAAAGTAAAGAAAATAAAAAAAAGGTCAATCTGTTAATGCTTAATATTAATTATCCGTTTTAAAGCGTTTGCGTGAGAATATTCGTCTCAAAAGGAAGGATTTGTGGGACAACAAGTCATGGTTTCTACATCATGATAATGCGCCAGCTCATATGTCTCGTCTTGTACGCGATTATTTGACCAAAAACAACGTAAATATTGTTCCGCAAGCACCGTATTCACCCGACATGGCACCGTGTGACTTTTTTCTTTTCCCTAAACTCAAATTGCCGCTTCGTGGAAAGCATTTTCAGTCGATTGAGGTCATAAAAGAGAATTCGAAGAAGGAACTGAAAGCCATACCCAAAGCGGCCTACCAGAAGTGTTATGAAGATTGGAAAAAAAGGTGGCATATGTGTATCGCCTCTAATGGTGACTATTTTGAAGGGGATAAAATTAATATTGAAGAATAATTAACAGTTTTTGTTTTATTGAGCCGTTTTGAGCTCGTTTATATTTGAGCAGAAGGTATACCGTGTTTAAGAGAGGAATTAAATATCCTTGTCAAAGGCAAGTAAATATATTTGGCCCTATTTTTTAGGAAGCATGAGGGTATCATGTCTGGGCTATAACTAAAAGATGGTTTTAACTTATTTAAATTAAGTAGGACGTCTTCTTCAGAAATAATTGGAGCGTTAATTAAAGTATTCGAACACAGCACGTGCTGATAAAAAAAAGTTTTGGAAGAATTATTACAGTAGTTTGACTTGAAAAATTCTGCAAACATATTGGATATAATAACATTGTCAGTTGAAATGATAGATTTGTATTTCATCGCGGACGGAAATTTGGAAACCCTGCGTTTGGAGTTGACGAAATCATAAAACGATTTTGGATTACTTGCAATATTCTTTTTTACTTTATTTAAGTAATTATTATAACATTTTTTGTTTAGGTCAAAATATTGTCGACGCAAAAGAGAGTATTTAAAACAGTCAACAAGTGAACCAGGTTTTTTATTAAACCCTGAACTGGGTATATTAAGTTTGCCACAAAGTTTGTAACACCCAGAAGGAAACGTCGGAGACCTATAAAATATTGTATATATATAAATGATCAGCATGATGAGCTGAGTTGATTTAGCCATGTCCGTCTGTCTGTCTGTCCGTCTGTCTGTATATACACAAACTAGTCCCTCAGTTTTCAAGCTATCGATCTGAAATTTTGCAACTGTCCTTTTCTCACAAAGAAGCTGCTCATTTGTTGGAACGACGACCACTATAGCATATATCTGCCATACAAACTAAACAATCGGAATCAAGTGTTTGTATGGGAAACTCTTTCATTTGACGAGGTGTCTTCACGAAGTTAGACACGAGTTCTTGCTTAAGGCTACAAATTATTCTCCGCAGAAATTGGTCAGATCAGATCACTATATCATATAGCTGCCACACAAATTGAACGTTCGGAATTAAGCTCATGTAAGGGGACTTTGTATTTGTGAAGGGTATTATAGCTTCGGTGTAACCGAAGTTAACGTTTTTTCTTGTTTAAAATATTTAAAGGTTTGAGTTTTTCTGTTTTTCAATTTATATAATTTTTTCGAAAACCACGGACTTATACTTTTACTTTTATTAACAATTACTATTGGAACATACTATTCAAATAATTTCATAATAATGTTATTAAAATGAGAGACACTCAATTCAATGTCACCATTATAATTAGGCCATGTTATTGTAGAAAGTTCTGTATTTAACTTTTTAAAATTAGCTTTTGCAAACCGAGTACAGAAGCACGAAGTTTGATGATTATTATCCCGTACATTGCCTGAGATTTCGACAGATATTTCCAAAGCAGGATGGTATGAGTCCTCTGGTAGAACAAGAGGATTACTCTGAATAACGGAACACTTTGAAGAGGTATCAACGTAGACTAAATCTAAGCATTTACCAAATTTATTCGGAATCAAATTAATTTGGTTCAGACCCAACTCGGACATTTTTTCGAAAAACTCATTAAAACATGACCGATTGCAAATCGGCACGATATAGTCATCTAAAGATTTCCACGAAGCACACGGTAAATTGAAATCACCTAATACAATTATTGAATCTGCATTATTTGCCATCGAGGTAGCACTATTTATTAAAGAAGCATGTTGCATGTATACAGATAAGTCCGAATGGGGTGGTATATAAGATAGGGTTAAATAAATAAAGCAACTATTAACGTATACTCTAATACATTTAAATTCAAATGAGTCGGTCCCTGGAACAAGAATATTTTCAGATGGGATAGAGGAATGCACGGCAAATAGAACACCTCCACCGATTCTGTTCAGTCGATCACATCTAAAAATTTGAAATTCGCTGTTTAAAATCTCATTATCAAAAATGTGAGGTTTTAACCAAGTTTCTGTAAATCCAATTATATGGAAATTAAAATTGGACCTGTTCAAATACAAATCGGTTAACTTTGTATTAAGACCTCTAACATTTTGATAATAAATGCTTAACGAATTTCTGCCAATCAGTTTTTTATATCGGTGGTTGCTTTTGGTAATTTAACAATGTTTTCCTCAGTTTGACTTCTAAGTTTAGGTTTAAATTCACGTACAAAAGCCCCAGGTGGCCAGAATGAACTATCTAAGATCTCTTTGAATGTTTAAAGAGATACGTCTATTTTAAACGATGATATACTTCTATCATAATTGAAGTTAAATTTACGTATATTGATATCAACGATTTTTAAATGTGACGAAACTCTGGAATTGTGAGACACTTATTACTATTAGATACAGCTTTTGGGGAATTGAGCTCTTTGGAAGTTGACGGCTTATCACCTTGAGGGCAAGGAGAAGAGAGATTTATTAGGTCATTGGGAGAAGACGTTCTTTTCTGTACAGAAGAACTAAGTGTTACTTCATCGAAAGGATGTTTACGCTTAGGAGCAGGTTTAGAGGATTCGTGAGAATCATTCAGGCACTTAAAAGATTTGAACAATTTTTCATAGTGCCTAAATTTTTCAGTGAGGGTTACAAGATCTCGACCGATTTCGTTAAAGCCATTGCGTGTCTCCCTATAAACTTTAAATAGATCGATTTCAATAGATCTACAATTTAAACAGGACCAACGCAATGCCTTCAGTCGAGAATAGAATCTAAGATGGCAAGCCCATCATAAAGCCAGCATGCAACGTAGCGATCTGACTCGCCTTTAATGTTACAATTGGGGAAGTTACAAGACAGAATAAACCACAAGAATGAAGATCAAATAAAAGAGTAAGTAGAACAAAATTTAATAGATATATAATAAATTAGTGTATTAATAAAATATTAATAATAATAAATTCAATTAAGAACAAACGCAAAAATAATAGCAATTTTTTTATCAAAGTATAAAACCAAGACAGTTTTAAAAAGCAATATAGCGAGCAGTTTTAGAAGCACTGTAACAAATAAAAAGAAAGTAAATGAATAAAGAAGTAAATGAAATAAATAATGAGCGAAAATAGAATAAAATAAAACAAAATGAAACAAAAAGCTGACTCGACACCAAAAATTCGAAAGTTTAAACTTTTTAATACTGCACAAAACTTAGGAACATTTAATACTTATCTTGCAACTCAAAGTTAAATCAATAAAAATTGTATTAAATCAGTAAAAAAAAAAATCAATTAAACTTGAAAAATTTATAGAATAAAAACACAAAAGTTCACAGCCAAAAAATTACAGCTTAAGAACTTGACATATACTTACATATGTACTATGTATTAAACGAAAAAAGTAATGGGACAGAATGGTCATCGACGTAGTGAGACTGTGTCTTGGCGTAATCAACTTTGTGGGGCAAAGGAAGAACTATTGTATTTATAATTTAGTTTTACTGAAAATGGTAAAAATCACTGCCAATTTAAATCAACGACTCTCTCGCACATTCAGTTCACCCGATTACGACGAAGATACACATACATATGTATACGTATTAATAAAAGAAAAAAATGTAGCCGCAGGAGAGTCAGTTTGTCTCTGTTCCGCTACTAACATAGTAAGTAGTCCCAATTTCACGGGTTATAACCCGATTTCCCCCCTTTTCACAATGCTAAAAGGATTTATCTTAAGAGATTTTGGTATTTATAGTTTTAGTGGTTTAGGAGATTACACATTAAACCTATTGTGGTCGGGGCCACGCCCACTTAAAAAAAATGTAAACAAAAAATGTTGCTACCAAATAACAGTCTTGCCTCTTATTGTGGAGCTTAGTTATGGCCATTTATTAGTTTTCTTGTTTTGAATGCTCTAGCAGTAATCAGCCATCATATTTGCATATTTGCATTCCAACGACCCTAGTATCGCTCTACCATAGTGCGAATATCATTTAAGTCGTCTAAATTTTCTGTGAAGCTGTCTAGTTCGATGGTTGAAGAGGAAATGCATCTTGGTGCTCGTGTTACATGTGTTGAATGTAATCTGGAGACTTTTTATTTATTATAAAATTTAACACAACCCAAATATAGTCAATCCATGCAGATTTCTCCTTATCTGTCATATAATCAGTAAAATGTTATTTATTAGTTCCCTGATTTGAGGACCGTCAATAATACCAGCTTTAATTTTTTTCTGTGCTCAGTTTTGGAAATTTTTTACTGATACATTTAAAACATTTCCCATCCTTGTTTAGAGTTTTTACAAACTGTTTTATTAGACCTAAATTTGTTTGAAGAGAGTATATTACTATATTACGAAGTCTCTGGCTACTAGAGGGGCATTCATCACATTCATACTACCCGGTACTAAATTCACTCTTAAAGACCAAACTTTTTTAGTCCAGTGTTCTGTCTCGGCTATCCCAAAAGAACATAAAACAGGGGTTTTTGATATATCCTCCTTGTTGACCCAGAAGAAAATTTACAATTTTAAGATGGAAGCATATCAGTTATGTTCGATGTACTTTGTTCCCAAAGTAGTCCAAATAGGCATTTTTATCGAATCAGACGGATTTAAACTAGCATTTAAACAAGTTCTTCTTTATGTAGACATAGCGGTTTATTTATGAAATTTAGTAGTTTTTTCCTCAGCCTCCGAAGAAAAACTTCCTAAAGATATCTATGTTGCCCGGTAGTTGCTTAAAAGTTGTTGGAAATTTAGAAACAACAATAAATAAAAATAAACAATTGTAAATGTGTAAAACTGAAAATTTGTTTGCCACAATCATCGTCTAAAAATATTTGAAGGTATTTTATTAGTTATTCTTTACCGTAAACGCAACAACGATTTTTCGTAAATATGTATATGTATTTGTTATGTATGTACCTTGACGTACTTATACATTTGCTCGAATGCCAATATTTCAAGGCAATAATACTGAAAGCGATATGTTGCTCATACATACTTATGTACATTCCGTCAACGCATAAACGTACATTTCGATTTAATTTATTACAATGAACTATTGACTCCAAAAATTAACCAAAGAAAGAACAATATCGATGATAATTCCTAAATACCAATAAATGGAATTAAATGCAACTCCAAAAAAACTCGGCAAGGACAACTTGCAGATCACAAAAATTAATGAAAAGTTGTTGTTATAGTCCGGAAACCTCTGTTAGCACATTTGTATACATATACATGTGTACATATTGTATAATATGAAAGCTTCTGTGCAACTCAAGTGAATTAAGTTCTTTTAGTCAGTACCACTGACATATCGCCGCATGCGTTCAGAAGCTGTCTCCTTTAACTTAATTTTAACGGTGCTCTTACGATTATACCGACGACGAAATGCTCGTATGCATATTGGTACATATGTATGTGGCGCTCACGTGTTGCTTATGCTTTCGTACAAAGCACAAGACAAGCATAAGTACATGTGATATGGGAAGGCCCTGCGGCATGTGCAGTGTTTGCGAAAAACGTGCTGTACGTCATGTTTTGCGACGCCATGCAACGGAAAGCAAACTGGGCGACCTTCTTGAGGACGAGCGCGATTTATGGAACACGCGATTGCCAGTGGGATGACCGCGGGTATGCACGGCTGTTCATATACATTCACATATATATACATAAATACATACTTATCATCAATATAGAAGAGCATAAGCTTTCTACCAAATAAGAAATAATAATGTATGTATGTATGTAAATATTACAGAATAACTGAACTTAAGAAATAAAGGAGAATAAAAATCCTTCATCACGAACATAACAAAGGCAACTGTGCATAGCATCGTTTTGTATAAATAGCAGAACATATAGTCGAACTGATAACACAATCGTCGTAGAGCGAGTACTGGTACATTGCAAAACCGCATCACTAGCAGCGCTCTTCAAGTTATTTAAAAAAAATGTCTCTATATTCGAAAATTATAATGCAGTTCTTCCTTTATTTGTCGTCCGTTTTGGCGGTAGTCAGTGCCGATGGTTACTATTATGAGATTCCCTCTACACGCACCGCTCCGCACTGGAATAGGTTAGCGTCTGCCCAGCAGTATCAATATCACACCCAGGATGGCTTTGGTCATTATTCTTATGGCTATGGAGAACCATTTTCCACAAAACAAGAAGTACGCACTCAAGACGGGACTACACGTGGCTCCTACGCTTATTTAGACGCCGAAGGCAAATTGCAGACTGTCACATATACCGCCGATGCCGATGGCTTCCATGTAGCGGGTACTAATTTGCCAAAACAGCGATCATCGGCGGATGGTAGCATTGCACTCGAGGTACCACAATCTGTGCAGGAAACACCAGAAGTTGCAGAGGCGCGCTTACAACACTTGGAAGCGCATCAGCAGGCCAACTTGCGTTTATACAGAATTTCCACTCCTATCTCCTCGAATTCAATGTTTGAAAAGGAATCTAATGATGACAATGTAAAAGTTATCGACTTACTTCCCCAGCAAGTAGAAGATACGCCTGAAGTGGCCGCTGCTAAAGCGAAATTCTTTAAGCGTTACGAGGAGGTGAAGCAGCGCAATAATCGATTGCGCCAGAAGCAGCAGAACGCGGGTTATGCCTTGGTCAAGTCGCAACCGTTGACTGTGACGGCCCCTTTGAGGATTTATAGGCCGACTATAATTCCAAGTGGCGCTTTCCGTTATAATATTGTTGTGCCATCAAATGATCGCGAGTACTTGCCTGTCGCTACATTAAGCTCTAAGAAAAAGTAATATTTTGATTATTTTCGTTGATTAATAAAAGACAAATGCAATAACAATATGTATATAAAATAATTTAAATTCTCATAATCTAAAACTAAGAGCAATTATCAGCGAAAATACACATTTCTAGCAGAAGCATGTAAGTAAGCAGAATTCCTTGCAACTATAAAGCATCTGATGTCGGGGTCCATACTTTTTATACCCTGAACAAGGTATATTAAGTTTGCCACGAAGTATGTAACATATGTATGTATATAAATGATTAACATAACGAGCTGCCTCGATTTAGCCATATCCGTCTGTTTATATAAACGCGATCTAATCGTCAGTGTTTGAGATATCGATCTGATATTTTACACATGTTCTTTTCTCCCCAAAAAGCTGCTCATTTGTCGAAACCCCCGATATTGGGCAACTAAAGTTCTTGAATGGAAATTTTTTCTTGTTTAAAACTGCAGATGAAGCCAAAGTTGCAGTATATGGTGAGCGTCACAGGTAAATGATTAGCCTCTTTTTGGTTCCCCATCTAAATATTATTCATCTATGTAAGTGCTAAATAGTGGCAGCCGGACGGTGGGTCGGTAAACCATCGATGACTGTTTTATACTCGCGCAATATGTTGCACAGAGTATAATACTTTTGTTCACCTGACGGTTTTTTGTAACAGCTGAAACTAATCTAGATAGATGTGGATGATTAGCCCGCCCGGGCTAGCGGTAACTCGAGTAAAAATTAAGATATCGTGATGACACAAGGAAGGAGCATATGTGGTAAAAAAGTTACTTAAAGTGAACGTGGACTCGCTCCCTAATAGATTTTATATACATATATCATAAACTGTTAAAGCTATATGAACCAAACTCACTCGACTACCTCGGTATACAGTGTGAAAATAGATGAAATAGGATAATAATCAAGCCCAATACTTTCTTGAATATACATACTTTAGTTTAAGGCTCAAAGGAAATGCAATCAGCTAAGATCTACCCTAGTCCCAGTATACCCGATACAGTGATTTCCGACTTTCAACCTTACTTTGAACCGTTTATGTGGCCAGAAGGTGTAATATTTTAATGAAATTAATTTCACATATTTTCTTAATCATAATTTGGCTTAACGCTGAATATATGTAAATGCAATAGGGGCCCGACATTGGTTTCATGTATTAAATTTCGTTCCATTTGGTTGAGTTATAACCGATATTCCATATTAAATTTCCCGAGATATCTCATGTTATCAACAGGTCAAAAGTAGGAAACTCGGATAATGCGTGGTGCAGTCCTTTGAATAACTCCCTCAATATTCATATTGTATTCGCCATAACGAGGCCTTTCTAATTTAATATTTTTACTCGTATAACACAAAAAAGATTATTAAATAAATGTTTATTATCCCAAAAAATTACAAAAATACTGAATATTTTTTATACATTCATATTGTTGGTATATTACGCATGTATTTACTTTAAAAATATTTCTAATAGTAAAAGTACCTCCACGGATAACCGTAATTGTAAATACTTGGAATGACAGATGTTCGAATAGTGGCTTGGCCTGGGACAATTGTCGGTGTAAGAACACGTCTATGTTGAATGATTTCGTTCAGTTGTTTCTCTGGATCATGCGGGTGTAGTTGAGGCTCCTTTGCAGCGGCCACGGCAACTGTATCATCCATGGGCTGAGACAATTGTACAGACCGAGTATCTGAGCCGGTTGTAATGGATTCGCCGCTAATGATACCCCCCGCTGCCAGGCGCAATAAAGCCTCCTTATGACCTGCAAAGTTAACGTCACTGGCTGCTCCAACGCCGGCGGTAATGGCAACTCCGCCTGACGTTGCCCTCCCACGAAAGGGCGGCTGAAGTGATTGGTCATCGGCTACGGCGATAGGCAGATTCGTAGCGGCGACACGAAAACCGTTATCGTCTGCGGTGTAGTCTATAGTTTGTAATTTTCCCGCAGCGTCCCGATAGCTATATGAGCCACGTGTGATCCCGTCTACTGAGCGTATCTCCTGCTTTGTAGAATGAGGCTCTGAATAACCATACGCGTACTGTCCTAAGCCATCCTGGGTGTGATATTGCTGCTGAGTGGGTGTGACGAGGGACGAACTGTGCGCGCTATAAACATAGGGATAAGTGCGTAGCAGTGGTGTGGCAACGTAGGTTACTGCATTATTGTTAGCTCTTACGTACGAAAATGTGGCCAGTACGAAGGTGGAAATAAAGACTACGAACTTCATGGCGATTAGGACTGGCTAGCTGGTCAATAGTTTAGTAGCGCTGCTAATAGATCTTTACCATCACTGGTTTGGTTGTGTTCTGATGCTGTCCACCAAGGTTGTGGCTCCTTTTATATGCGCTCAATCGACTCAAGCATAAACAACTTCTCCGCCACGAAGAATGCGCCTACTCGTTATCTTTCTAAAGGAACTTTGTCTTCATTCCTTTTTTATTCATTTCAATTACGAGCATAAGTAGTCGGCCGACAGCTGAAAGATTCAGTGGGAAGCGAATAGGGACGTTAACACCACCTCAACGCCAAGAGGCATGAATGAATTTTACCTATGTTGTAAATAACAACATTTCGCAGAGGCGTTCGTCACTCTTGACCTATGTCAGCACTTTTGTTATTTGTAGTCATACAAGAGCAGCAACTATGACCTTGATCAATGTGCATTGAAATTTGTATAACATCCTTATTGATCATTTCATTACTAATTATTTAGTGATCACTTTACATAAATATTTATTACATGTATTAGAAAAATAAATTTAAATATAAATCTTTCTTTAGGAAAGTACATATGTATATATAATATTGTAGTTTTAATCACATATTACTTTTAATTGGTTGTATAAATAAGAAATATATATTTCTCAACTCAGTGGCAGAAGATATCAGTTATATTACATAGGAAAACTGGTACAGATTGATGCTTGAACATCAATATTAATAACAAATCTGGAAGGGCTAAGTTCGAGTGTATCCGAACATTCTACACTCTAGCAATTTTCAAAGATCAAAGCGGAGCATTCTTTCAGGTGTTGACAAATCTTTGCATTAAACAAGAAAAACCCTTAACTAGCTATTTGCTATATTGGTCTAATATGGTAATTTGGAAAATTTCTTCGAATATTATTGTGTTGCCTTGGAGAATAATTAATGTCGAATTGCCTGAAGATATCCCGTTAAATAAAAAAGTTCCGATATCGGCCGTTCTGACAAATGACCACATTCTTGGGGGGAGAAGGATGTGTGCAATATTTCAGAGCGATACTTTCAAAACTGAGAGACTAGTTCGCCTATAAACAGACAGATGGACATCACTAAATCAACTCAGCTCGTCACGCTGATCATTTATATGTTTATAGAATATATATATGTTGTAGAGTCTCGAAGTTTCACATACGTAAATTTATTGACAAAATAAAGAAAGTTTTTAATTTTTTTCTTGAGGAAATTGGTATAAATGATCGGTATTACGCTTTTGATAGTACCTGTGATACGTTATGATATGGAAAAATCTAAACTTAGGTAGACTTTTCTTGGACATTATTAAAGTTTGTTTGTTTTTAACACATTCCCCTGACTTTAACCCAATCAGATCAGAAAGAGAAGGATCTTCCTAATATTATAACTTCAAAGGAAACCATGAAAATGAAGTGATAATGTATTATGGATGCCTATAGGTATAACAGAGGAGGAGAGTTCTCGGTCATCTCGATTTGACCGAATGTCCTACATCGCACAATTTTCACCTTAATTATTTGGAGCTAATCACACAGCAAAACGACGCGTGCTCATATCCCGATAACGCACTTTGAAGGTTTTTCTAACAATATCTGTCTCTATTAGAAAACTCTGAATAAAAATAAAAATGAGGCATTATTTAAATGTCCGCTCATATATTTATATATATTTTTTTTCATTCGCTTATCAGCAAAACGACAAAATTCCTCTCACTGCAATTGATTTATTCCATTGTTCATTGCTGACAATTTATATCAGTACTGCTAATTTTAAAGGGTGTATGCATTTACATAAATACTTCGATAACAATATGACTGCATATAACTGTGTCAGCGGAAAGAGGAGCACTGTTCCTCCACTAAGCATCAAACTGTATTCATTGAGGTAGCAATCGATTTGCGTGTCTTTCAAATTACCTTTGTTTGGAAGTTAATAAGGTATTTCCCGAATTTAGCTTCCCTTTACCGCATATATTATGCGCACAGGCACACGTGTTCAGGTATGCGCCAGCACAGATGTTTGTTAAAGCGATATCTGATGGGCTGTCGCCGCACTGAAGCACATAATTGCATGTGTTCGCGGTCTCACCGTTGGTTTTTGCGCGTCTGCAGCTGGTTAGCCGGCCAGACAACAAATTCTGTGTCCAGTATGCTTTTCCTTTAGTTTTTGTCCAATTCGTGCTGGACATTAAATTATCATGACAATTCAAGGTAAGTGAAGGCCAAGGCTTCGTACTGCAAATATAATTACTGATGGATCAAAATAACGTCATTATCGGGCGAGTTGCGCGAACATACTTATTGAACATTTTGTACATATAACGGAATTCGAATGCAAACAGAAGAGGCGATGGGAACGTGTTGGTTGGCTGGCAGCCGTGTAAATTTATTATTATAAGGAAGGCTTGAACTTAAGTGTATTTTTAGCCGTCCAACTGCCGCCTTGCAACGTTTAACGCTAGTTACTCTTAATGGCGTTATTTGCCCGCCCTACTCGTTCAATTTTCTTGTACGAAAATGTTATGCGTGCTTATCCCAACATGTTTTTGTATCTCTTCACTGAATGGGGCAAAACTCAGCCACTACTTATTAGTTTAAATTTTTTTTTGCTGACCAGCCGTGGTCCGTCCAAGACTTAACACCACTTGTGTACTCACGTTGAAGCTTTGTACCTTAATGAAGTCAAGTCCTTTCGGCACCAATGTGACGTGTTGGCATGCCAAGTGTTTGGGCCTTTCACATCCAAAGTGCATTTCAATGTTCTAGTTTGTTTTTCCTCCTCTTTACTCTTTTACATATCCCTATACATTGGTGGCGTTGGTTGCTTTATAGCAAGATTGGCGTAGGCCTTCATTTGATCTCTTTGATTCATATCACCCTTTACGTGAAGAACACCAATGATTGGGTACAGGGGTCTTCAGTAGGCACACACCAATTCGGAATAGGTATTCTTATTTAAATGAGGTTTTTTTATCATTGAATTCAATAACGTTTGTATTATTGAATCCATATTATACGAACAGTAAACAAGTAAGAACAAATCTTTATATAGGAATATGAGTATTATCCGAAGGTCTAAATTGATTTCATTCATATTCTAACATATAATTTTTAATAAAACTTGTAAACTTAATTTCATTAAAATAACATACATATTGACCGACATAAGCGGTTAAAGTCAGGTGGAAAGCCGGATAACATTATATCAGGTATATATCAGCAACAAGAAGGCCGAAACATTCGTCAGTTTATACGATACAAAGTTAACCGGATGTTTGAAAGACGTTATATTAGGTACATATATGGGTGCTAGAGGAAGTGTTCCCTCGATTTTATCCATTTTAGGCATAAGGTGACACTGTCTCCAAATTTCATTGAGATAACTCACATATTTATTTACTGATATCTGCGCTGTTAAAGTTAACAGGAAGCTTAGCTATAACGTCAGATAAAGTACGGACCCGAATTCACGAATTTTTGACATAAGGGCAAGCTGTTATAATAAAAAGCTTAACTCCGAATTTCAATTTTGAATCTCACAGATAGACCGATATTTTAAGCTCGGTAAAACATATTCGGTATCTGTGGACTTGGAAATTTATGGTCAGATTTCGACAATTTTTAAAATGAGACATGTTCAGTACAAAAAGAGATATTACTGAAATGGTCTTTTATTTGAGTATTTACTTAGATATTTGATTCATATAATCTATGTATAATCAGCGAGATATTGGCCAATGGTTTGTCAGATTGATTGTTTTTGAGCCCAATAATAATCCACCTTAAGCATGTGCATATGAAATTCAGAGAGGATAAGTGAACTTCAAACTCGAACTGTTGAAAAAGACTCATTTGTGTTCTTCGGTCTCTGTCTATAATTCCATAAAGCTCATTAGAAGAGCAATAAAATATTACAATTACATTTATTTAAACTATAGATAATAAATAAATTAAAGGTAAACTACAATATTTACAAAAAGTGCTGATTATACCTATATGTGGTTTTAATTGGTGCAATCTCATTGGAAACCCTTATGGCATATTTTCCTTAAGGTTTATTCGTATTGCGTCAGTGTAGCATACTACATACCATACATATGTACATATATGGGTTTGTGTGTGATTGCAATTTTTATTACTTAGTTGTTAAATGCAACAATACTACTCGCCCTGTTGCATGCTTATTTGCGAAAATTAAGTGCGGACAAGTCTATTTGGTATCATTTTCAAATCGTGGCTACTCTTCCACAACACTTTTTAGAAAAGAAAATTTGATGGGTATATGATTTCGTGGTATTAAACGTAGAGATTATAGAAGATTAAACAATTTTATTTAGGATATAATAATATAAAATAAAATAAAAAATGTAGAAACTGCTTTGAGGGCTGAGGCCCAAGTGCCAATATATTTTTCAATTGAGGGCTTCTCTTTCGTTTTCATTTATAATTCCTATGTTGAGCTTCAATCGAGACATACTTCAATCTATTTAACAGTGTAACCACAGAAATTAGTGGAGTCTGATGGGAATGTTATTTGTAAAATTAATGCTAAGAATAATACTTTGTCATTAGTCAAGCCGGTCTTCAATCACGGAAATCTGTAGCTGTAATTGATAAAAGGCCTTTTTGTTTTTGTGACAACCGCGGTATTATCAGCAGTCGTTGTCAGTTTCGATTTAGAAGAGGGCATGGAACAATATTATTGAATTCTCAATATACCTAAACCAGAATGTGTTTGGACAGGAACAATATTGTGCTTTGGTATTCCAGGATATCCCAAAAACGTTTGTTAAAGTATGGCCTTCTAAAATACTATACAGAACTATTATATATTTTCAACCAATATGATTTTCGAAGCTGTTCAATATACTATAGATGATGGATGGATGGATATACCATAGTCTGGCAGTGAGTGTAATTTATCTCATTCTTTGAAGACCAATTCGAATTATAACTGGGCTACAATGATTAACTGCCTGAAGAATGGATGACTTGTTTGGTATTGGGGGTTATAAACCAGGAATCATAAATTGTTTAGGTACATATTTATTTCTACGTA